TCTCCATCCTGTCCTAGCCCCTTCCTCTTCCAGTCCCCCCTCTCGCTCCCCTATTACTGGGCTCCAATGTTCCCTGTAAGCTGGGTGCTCATGCAGCCACTTAAAAGACTTTCAAATGCCACCCAGCAGAATAGCAGAGTGCCCAGAGCTAGGTTTTGTTTCTGCTGGTGGTGCACATTTGCTCATGCCTTGGTGCATATAATAACACATATGCCACACATGACTGGAGAAGAGGGAACATTGCTGGGCTCCTCTTGCAGCAGGGGGGTCAGAATGTGGCCATATCACCCATCCCCTTTGCCATGTCTACAAAACCTTCCCCTTACTGTCCAAGCCCGACGTTGACATCCCCCAACCCCCAAAGACTTGGTTCATTGTCACCCTTTTCTATTTCAGGGAGGTAAGTCCCCCTCCTCCCCCGAGAATTGGCCTTTAGGAACACGTCATCTGCCACGTCAGCTACCTGGCCTATAAAATAGTTCCCCACTTTGCCAATAGGAAAATGTGGCAGCAGTCATCTCTGGCTAGGCAAATGGGTAGCCATTGCTCATTCTCAAGCCAGGACTAAAAGAGATCCTCTCATGAGAGGCAAGTGTAAATTGTTCTGCATGGAATCTTCCTCCGTACCATCACTCAATGCCTGTGTCTTCCCGGTACTCACATACACAAACTTCTTACAGGTTTCTGGAAAAGCACATTGCCATGAATGTGTCAGTAGTGAAGGGCCCAGGTTGTTGTTGTTTGCTTTTGTTTTTTTGTTCCGCATCCCATGTTGTAATTTTCTCTGCACTCACTTTGTATAGCTATTGGTAGACGCACAGTGGAGAATTCTCCTGGTTTTAACTCTCCATTGCACACTGATAGAAACATAAGGCAGAAAAAGCTCATCTTTACAACTACAATGTGCAAAAGCAAACAACAAAAACACAAAGTTTATGCTGCTTCTCGAGGCATGTATATTTTTAACATCTCTTGCAGCCAGTTCCCTTTATGGTTTATCTTGAAGCTGTGGCTTTGCTCATGTGATATGTTGTAGCATAACATAAAGGGCACGAGGAACACACACAGGAGTGTTTCCTTAGCAATAACTATTTAGAAATTCCTGCCTAGTCCTGAGTTTCTAACGCATTGGAGAGAAGAAGGTTCAACCAATTATAATTTATATATAGTTCCTTTTGCAACAGCTTTCTCCACGGGCTTTGCTCTCTAAAAACAGTTCAGAAAAAAAAACAGTTAAGCTTCTAATTAGTATCATGAGCTTTAAGAAAATGAAGAAAAACTCTTCAGGGAGGCCAGACCACATTCTCTGGCAGAGAAGTCTGGCAAAGGCTTCCAGGTGCCCAAAGACACCAGTATGAAGGGAAGCCCAGCTGTAGGTGATAAAGCACCACTGGCTTTGTATCAACTTCGGAGTGAAGAACAATGTGGATACTCAGCTATAAAAATGAGTGGTCCTGTGGCACTTCAGAGCCTAACCAAAATACAGGCAGTCCCCGGGTTACGTACAAGATAGGGACTGTAGGTTTGTTCTTAAGTTGAATCTGTATGCAAGTCAGAACTGGCATCCAGATTCAGCCGTGGTTGAAATTGATCAGTTTCAGCAGCAGCTGACTTGGGGACGCCTGGGGTTCTTAAGTTGAATCTGTATGCAAGTCAGAACTGGCATCCAGATTCAGCCGTGGTTGAAATTGATCAGTTTCAGCAGCAGCTGACTTGGGGACGCCTGGGGTTCTTAAGTTGAATCTGTATGCAAGTCAGAACTGGCATCCAGATTCAGCCGTGGTTGAAATTGATCAGTTTCAGCAGCAGCTGACTTGGGGACGCCTGGGGTTCTTAAGTTGAATCTGTATGCAAGTCAGAACTGGCATCCAGATTCAGCCGTGGTTGAAATTGATCAGTTTCAGCAGCAGCTGACTTGGGGACGCCTGGGGTTCTTAAGTTGAATCTGTATGCAAGTCAGAACTGGCATCCAGATTCAGCCGTGGTTGAAATTGATCAGTTTCAGCAGCAGCTGACTTGGGGACGCCTGGGGTTCTTAAGTTGAATCTGTATGCAAGTCAGAACTGGCATCCAGATTCAGCCGTGGTTGAAATTGATCAGTTTCAGCAGCAGCTGACTTGGGGACGCCTGGGGTTCTTAAGTTGAATCTGTATGCAAGTCAGAACTGGCATCCAGATTCAGCCGTGGTTGAAATTGATCAGTTTCAGCAGCAGCTGACTTGGGGACGCCTGGGGTTCTTAAGTTGAATCTGTATGCAAGTCAGAACTGGCATCCAGATTCAGCCGTGGTTGAAATTGATCAGTTTCAGCAGCAGCTGACTTGGGGACGCCTGGGGTTCTTAAGTTGAATCTGTATGCAAGTCAGAACTGGCATCCAGATTCAGCCGTGGTTGAAATTGATCAGTTTCAGCAGCAGCTGACTTGGGGACGCCTGGGGTTCTTAAGTTGAATCTGTATGCAAGTCAGAACTGGCATCCAGATTCAGCCGTGGTTGAAATTGATCAGCTTCAGCAGTGGCTGACGCCAGTTCTGACTTACATACAGATTCAACTTAAGAACAAACCTACAGTCCCTATCTTGTACGTAACCCGGGGACTGCCTGTATACAGAATCAGGAGCTTTCATAGGTAAAACCCACTTCAGCAGCCAAATTATTCATCGGAGGAAGTGGGTTTTACCCACAAAAAGCTCACGATTCATATATTTTGATTAGGCTCTAAGGTGCCACAGGACCGACTCGTTTTAAAGTAACAGACTAACCCGGTGACGCCTCTGAGACTTTTTATTCACAGGTATAGTACTCCTGGTCACGGGCCCTGATGAAGAGGATGGTTCTTAGGACTGATGGAATTAATAGCAAAGTCCTGAACCCGCTCCTACTAAAACCCATACATTTGCCCAGTGTGAATAACTAGACATTTGTGAGACACAGAAGCATAGCATTTAAGGCTGGAAGGGACTCCGTGTCTAGTCTGGCCTCCGGTACATCAAAGGCCACCAACACACTGCAACACTCATTCTGACTCCCTGAGCTGCACACAAAGGCATCCTGTGAGATACACACACCCCTAAAAACAGCAGCCAGCAGCTATAACCATTAGGCAAGGCTGTGAGGTGAGCTGCAGAGACAAAAAGTTTGACTTCCTTGTCCACGCAGCCACAGGAAGCTGCGTTGCTGTGTTACCTAATGTATGAAATAGGGCTCATTTCATAATTCAGCACAAGCTCGCTGTGGCTTAATGCCCAGAACAACACAGGCTCCATGATAAGACTGATCCGTGGTGATAAGCAGACCTGTAATTGTAGAAGATGCTTCTTGCCAGATGATTTCATCAGCAAGAATAAATCATTAACTGGTCTGTTTTTGAACCACGCCCAGAAACCACCTGTACACGCTCATGTGCCACACGATAATTTCCACACCCTCCTGTCCCACCCCAATTCCAAATGGCGGGACCATCTAAGACCTGTCGAGGGCAGGAAACCCCCATGGGTCAGTGTTTACTCCACTTTAATCCCATGGCCCATCGGGGACATAAGTTGGCGATTCCTTCATGGAGCCATGAACTTGGCACGGTTCACCCCTATCCCCACCTGCCCCATTTGTGGCTTGAGGGAAAACCTGGCACACGCCTACCTAGGATACACCAGGTTGCAGCCCCCTTTCCGGCTCCTCCAGAACCTCCTGCTGAGGTCCTGGCTGCACTTTTCCCCTCACCTTTTTATTTATGCACACCCAATCCGTGGCCCCACAAACTTGTCAACCTCCTCTTGACCCTGGCGAAAGCCGCCATAAACCACACCAGGAGGCGGATGCTGGGCAAGGGGCGCTCTGCGACCTTAGGGCCTACTTCCGCTCCTCCCTAGTTTCACGAATCCGGGCAGAGCTCCTCTGGGCAGCGTCCACTGGCTCCCTGGGCAGCTTGGAGGAGCAGCGGGCGCTGTCCGGGGTTCTCCCCGTCCGGTTCCCTTGTTTTAAACCTTTGACCTGCAGCCCGACCCTGTTTTTCATTATTTGTCTCCCCGTAATTAGTTGACGCCTGAGCCCAGTCGTCCGTCCCGCAAGGCTGGGGGAGGGGTTTTAGAAGTGGGTGGGATGGCGCCCACCCACTCCCTTGGGTTATGGAAAGGAAAGCAAAGGAAGAAAGAAAATCCTTAGTGCGTCTGAGGCACAAGACCAACATTCTTTGGACAATGGTTCTGGCTTCCTCCGGGCTCACTCCTGCGGGGGGACGGGGGACCCACTTCACTTTAAGGTGAAAGATTCAGCACTTGCCGTATCAGGCTGTAGTCCGAGTCCTGTTCATCTTATTGATGCGGGCAGGTCCAACGACTCATACGGTGACACATGCCAGCTCTAGGAACCCCTAAAGTCCTTAAGTCCTCAGCAGGGTTGTATGTGTGGGCCCACTGCTCAGCTGGCTTTCACTTCAGTCTAAACCAAACAGCTAGGCATCCCTGGGAACCACCATCTACCCATCTCAGCTAGGCACTGAAGATGCTTAGTGGACAAAGCTTCCAAGCTCATTAAGAGCATATTAAGTGGTCCCCGAATTTCTTTTAAGCACCTTTCTCACCATCCCCATTTCCAAGCATAGTGCCGTGTTTTTACTTTCTCTTGTTTCTGTTTAAAAAAATAATTGTCCAGTCATATAGAAATACTGATTTTAATTAAACCATGATAAATGCTCAGGTAAACTCTTGGCATTAATCCTTTTTTTTTTTTCCCCATAAGAAAATGAGTAAACTGTTTAGACAAGGCACAGTTTTGATTTTTCATACTTTGGTACTGGGTCCATTTTACAGAAAACCTGAAATATTGCAACAAAACAAAAATACAAGCTGGTTGTGATTTTAAAAGATCGTATAAAAACCCACACTCATTTGAACATTAAAATCCTTAGTCTAAAAAAATAGCACCAATGAAGAGTACAAAGCTGATAAGATTCAATAAAATAGCATTCCTGAAATGCAGGTCTCTCCTTAAGACATTTTTATAAACATGTAGTAAAAGGCAGATTTTACAGGGAAAAATACTTTGTCTAAGATCACATGAAAAAATTGTAAATTTAATGCCAAGAACTTTTATTCCTCTTTTCCTGATCTTCGTTTGCTTTCCAAATCTTTCCACCATTGTGTGTTTATTTTAATTTTGATGAGGAAGGGAAGGAGATGAACACTGGGGTAAGAGTATTCGAAGGCGGACCTGAGTTGAGGTCATGTGTTAATCCAGTCTGAAAAAAGGGCCAAGGCTAAAACGAATGGTGGACTCAAACGGAGATTTCGTAATCTCCTGGTCTCGTTTGACTCTAAAGCTTCAATCCTACCTCGAGCTCCACGTGGGCAGACTCCTGCAAACATGCAAAACTACTTTGCTGCGGGGTTCCGCTGTCCACCCACGTGGACTAGAAAAGGCTTTCACATGACAGCAAGTAGGGTGAGGGTGAGGGATTAGTGTTCTCATCCGGATCCAGAAGAGGGTCAGGGTTCAGAGCGAAGCTTTTGGTCCAAGAGTTGCAGATGAGCTTGGCCGGCAAACGCCTGCAGAGTTCCTCAACTCTGCACGCAGAGGCACCCAATGCACCAGCTGCGCGGGCATCAATGCATGCAGAGGTGTAGGCTGCATGCTCACCAGACGAGCATTCTGCACACCTACGCCACTGCACGTCGGGCCTCCTACGTCTCCGCTACATAGTTTATGGGTGTGAGATGACCGGCTGCTTCTTGTCCCTGAGTTGCCTAGAAGGAATGGAGGTAGCATAGGAGAGCGCTGCCCGGGGAGGTTCCAGCATTTCGGAACTCAGTGCATTCTCAAGTGGGTCTCACCTGGGCACATGCTACGTGGCAGGGCTTCCAAGTGCCACTGGGAGGGAAGTGCCACGTAGGACAGAGGAGAACACGGCTCAGTCTCTCCTCTGGGGAAACCGCTGTCTCCCTCGGCCATGACCTGCCTCCTCTTGCTGCCAGTTCCCAGTCTGGCCATCAAGAAGAGGCAGGCTGCCGCTGCGGCTGGAAGTGGGAAACCACCTACATGTAGATCCAAGAGCTTGACGCAGGGTCAGGAGTGAGAAACGAGGCCCTTCATCCGCTGGGGATGACGCCCTCCCCTCAGGCCTGGGATGGAGATGCACAGGGATCTCCTGTTTTCAAGGAGGGGCAGCAGGAGCCGAGATCGGGACGCTCTCACTACTCAGGGATCCTGGTGGAAGGGGCGGCTGCCCTTTAGGAACGCTGAGCACAATGCAGAAAGATGACCCTGGGCCTAGCTCTTCACATCACCAGCAAGGCTGTTCGGAGGGCCGGGCCGAGGCCTCCCTTGCCCTAAGACACAGAGGTGTCTCTTAATTGAGAAAGGCAAGAGCTGCTTGAAGACGCGGAAGCCCGCCCAGCTACTGCCCAGAGCCCGCTGGTCTGTCTCCTGCTCAACCCTTCGCCTGGACGCAGCGCCCTTGGCTTTCCGCCAGATCCGCTCCCGCCACACTTCATGCCATTCAGCAAAGAACTTCCACAGGCGCGAGCATCGAAACAGGCTGCACGACCCGGGGGCCACTGGTGGAGCAAAGAGCAGCGCTAGGAGAGGACGGAGGAGCTGCAGGTCCGGATGGTGCATGCCAACAGGCCCACGAGGGGGCCACTTTGAGGGGGAGCTCTGCCAGGAGCGCCGTTACCCTGTGGAAAGAAGCGGGACGTCCCTCTGCTGCTTTAGTCAACCTGCCAGCGAGCCCGTCCCTCGTGGCGTCCGTCCAACGTGCAGGGGAGCCTTCCCCAGCCCTCCTGCGTGGTCGCTGGAATCTTCGGAGCCAGGCCGTCTCCAGAGCAGCAGCCGGGGAGTTCCTTTCAGCTTCGGCAGGAGGCAAGATGGGAACATCAGCGAGGCGCTGAGGTAGTGGGTCTGCTGCAGCCCCCATCGCCATGCCCGGCCCACCGGGGGAGCCCCCTTCTGAGCGCACGGCAGCGGGTTGGGCAGGAAGGAGCCAGTGATGCTCGCCCCATCTTGGACTGTTCAAGCCTGAAGCCGGAACTCCAGCTCAGGTCTGACCCAGCTCAGCAAAGGGCACCATCCCGGTCCCCGTGGGTCCAGGCACACCCCCAACACAGGCGCGTGCATGGAGCCACGGACGTGGCTTTGTGCAAACTATCCCTGTGCCTGCAGGCAGGCGAAGAGCAGAGTAAAACGGTGGCCCGCTGTGCTTCTGAGCAGACGTTCCCTGGGCGCGCCGGGACGGCAGAGGAGAAATAAAATGGCTCTCCCGGGGGAAAGGGCAGGGGCGTGGAGTGTTTACACCACGGCGGAAGGGTTCCCTTTTCCAGTCACGCAGGCCTGCTCCAGCCCTGCTGTAGCCAGGACGAATGCACCATTAACCAGGCGACGGGCAAAATTCCTAGGGTGAAATCTTGGCTGTGCTGAAGTCAATGGAAGTCTTGCCCTTGATATCAATGGGTTCAGGATTTCACCCCACTGACTTCATAGGATCGGGATTGGGGCTAAAGTGACTTGAGGTTGTGATGCTGCCCGCTCCGCATATTTCTGATCAAGGATTCCTTGCACCAGGTTAGATTTTGCGACAGCTTCTCTGTGGAGTGGCTGTGTCGGATTTCGGGGGGTCCAGCAACAGTTAGGGCTAGAAGACTGTTAGTTTTGAGGTTCTTAAAAAAACACCCAGCACGGCCCTGCCCGCCCATTGGTTTGCTAAAGTGTTAAGAGAACAATTTCCTTCTAGTGACCTGGAGCCCACATGCTCCCTGAACTGAGTCATGTTTCACCTTTCAAACTGTTCCGCGCTGCCTAATGTACAAGTGAAAAGAAGGTTGTAAAAAGGAAGGAGTGTTGGCAAAACTACAGCCGAACGCACACACCAACACTTCTAACTAGACAAGTAATTCTATCACCTCACAGTTCAGTTTCAGCTACATTCAGGTCTAGGAATTTCCACATTCTCATGTAATGCTTGAAAGCAGCAACAAAGGTTTAAAAACAAAATTGAACTCGAACAAAAAAAAATGTAAAAAGCGATTTTTTTTTTCATGTCTCCCGCTTGTTCGTTCAGTGTATGTAACCTGAAAGGGTTCTGTATCCCTGTGGCTACAGGTCTGATGTCCTAGCAACTGTTTTTAGAGGTTGGGTGTCAAAAAAAGCATGGTTTCTAACTATTTCAAGTTTGTTTGCAGCACACCAGCCAGCTGCGTTGGCCACCCAGCCGGTGACTCACTACTTTCCAACTGTACAGTAAAAGGAATGGTTAATGCACTATGTGAGACAAGAGGGTCTCCAACCACCATCCCTACAGTCTCCTGAGTGAGGCAAGCTAGCATCTGCCTTCAATACTTTCTAAAGAGTGTTCCGATACTTTCTGTCCCTTTGAAAAAATCCCCCTAGCAGGTTCTTTGGTTAAAGTTTCCTACGCTCGCCCTGAAGGGCCACACGTCCGCCCCAAAGCGTGTGGCTGGGGAGACCGTTCCCTACCAAGTGATGGAGCGTGTGGGCTGTTCTCTTCCTTCCCGCTCCCACACACGCTGTTGAGCTAGTGCATCTTGACCGGAGGAGACGAGGGAATCCCTGCTATTCACAGGCAAAATAATCCTTGAGCGGGGCGAAGAGGTGCCGAATGACCGGGACGCTCCACGATCTCCCGAGCAGCTTCTGCCGAGCCCCACGCCCCATGTTGGACACGTCGGTGTAGTGAAGGGGGAAGCCAAAGATCCTGCCGGGGGAGGGAAGAGCAGAGGGACGGTTAGAACAGCAGTTACGCGTCGAGGAGGTCCTGTCCGGGCAGGCACTGGGGAATTCCCGAGGGCCGGAATCCTGACCTGCAGCATCGCCCGCACCACTGGGTTCTCCCCCACAGACGGCGAGCAACGGCCCTGAAGGCGTTTTGGGCTGTGGCTCTTGGCCAGTGTCCATGCCCGCCTCGCTGTTGGCATGGAGACAGCCCCATCCTCCCCGCGTGACCTTGCCTGGCCTCCCTGCATTATTTCTACGCCCGTGGCCTGTGGGCTGCTCACAGGCAGG